ATAAAATTATTGATTTCAGAGAGGGAGGGAAAGGGAGAGAAACATCCACGATGAGAGAGAATCATGGATCGGCTGTCTCCTGCATGCCCCGCGATGGGGATGGAGTCCGCAACCCGGGCCTGTGCCCTGACTGGGAATCGAACCGTGACCTCCTGGTTCATAGGCTGACGCTCAACCACTGCGCCACGCCGGCCGGGCAACACTTGTTGTTTCCTATTTGTCTGTAGAGCAGCCATCCTCGTGGTGTGAGGTGGGGTCTCGTGGTGGTTTGGACTTGCATTGATGATGACCGGTGGCGGTGAGCACCTTTTCATGTGCGGATTGGCCATTGGTACATGTTCTTTGGAGAAAAGTCTATTCAAGTCCTTTGCCCATTTTTGATAGAATTACTTCATTTTCTATGTGACATTTTAGGCGTTCTCCATACACAGTATTCTGGCTGTTATTCCCGTATCAGATAGAGGATTTGCAAATGTTTCCTGCATCCAGCAGGCAGCCCTGCACTCCGCAGGCAGGTCCTGTCCTCGGGGGCGCCGCGTTTACATTCTGATGGAGTCCCCTTGATCTCCTTCCACGCAGGCGGCCCTGCACTCCGCAGGTCCTGTCCTCGGGGGCGCCGCGTTTACATTCTGATGGAGTCCCCTTGATCTCCTTCCAGTTTTCCTGCCTGCGCTCATTTAACTTTTTCCCAAACCCTCTGTGGGCTGGGCCAGAACATCGGGGCCAGACCAGCACTGTGGGATCCGCCTGTTTGAGACAAGCCACCTCCCAGCAGGCCTCGGGGCTCAGCACCTGCCTAGCCTCGTTCCCACCACACCCGCTCCCTGCACCCTCTGCTTCAGTTCACCTGCAGGGACAGGCCCTGCCTTCGCAGAGGGGACGGGCAGAGTCACCTGGCACAGGACCGGCACCCTGTGCCCCAGGGCACGGCCCATGGCCAGGGGTCAGGCGGGCACACTCACCTCGCGGGTGACCTTCCCGTTGTTGTCAAAGTCATACAGGGTGAAGGTCCACTCCTGCCGGCTGTCCTCCTCCACGGACACGTCACACTGCAGCTCCTGGACAGACAGACAGACAGCACACGGCGCGCTGTCACCCAGCGGCTGGAACACCTGGAGGCCAGGCCACGGGGCTGCCCCTCCCACTGCAGAGTAATGACCAAGATGCGACTGTCCAGGGAGAGCAGCCAGGCTGGGCGGGAAGGTTTGGCCTGAGGAGAGATGCCCGCAGGGGTGCCAGACAGGCTCTGGGTCCTCACAGGCTAAGGGACACCGGGGGAGGGTCTGAGAGAGGGCTCTGTGGCCTTGGGAAGACTGAGCTTGGACCCAGGGCTAGAAGCTACCCTGCCCACATGCCTACACACACACATGCATACACACACACGTACATGTCTGCATGCGCTCGCATCTGCTCGCACCTGCACACGTGCATGCGCCTACACTCATGCCACACGTGTGCACACACGTACATGTCTGCATGCGCTCGCATGTGCTCGCACCTGCACACGTGCATGCGCCTACACTCATGCACACCTATGCACATGTGCAGCCCGTGCACACCCGCACATGTGTGCATATATTCACACGTACACATATGCACACACACCTGCTTGCACGCGCGCGCGCGCACACACACACACACACACACAGGGCACAGTAACTTGGGAAGCTGTGTTGCGGCTCCCAGGGTGGCCACCTGACCGGAAGGCAGGAGAAGGGTGGACACAGAGAACTAAAGGCCCAGTCAACTTCAGGTGGCGGCCTGTGTGGCCCTCCACAGCTGTGCCCTCCACCTGGGCACGGCTTCCCTGCGCCTCAGTTTCCCTGTGTAAGTTACGGAAACGACGGTGTTGCCCTCATAGCCTTGTTGGGAGCAGTCACTGGCCTGCCCCTCCGCCCCTCGGTGCTCATCACGGCCGTGGGAGACAGGTCCCCACCTCCCACCTCCAGCCCCTGGCTTCTGTGTCGAGGGCAGCCAGAAGGAAAAGCCAGGGACGGCGTGCCCAGGGTGGGGGGCGAGTGGTGGATGGTACCCCAGCCTCCACGCCCCTCCAGAGGACAAATCTGAGGGCACCTGTGGGACTGAGCCTCAGCTGCCCTTCACCTTCGTCGGCTCCCCTCCTTCCCTGCTCCCGGGGATCACCCCCGGACCCTTGTCTCGGGGTCTGCTTTGGGGGAGCTGGAAACAGGTGTGGAAACTGGTTGGCACACAGCAAAGCCCGATGAATGCTAGTAGCTGCTCCTCTTTGTGATGATTCCTATACAGTGACGTCATGTTATCTCTCCCCCCGAGGTGTCTAAGCACGGGACTCTGAGCTGGCGTGGGAGCTCTGCCTCTGGGGGAAGCGTGCGGGGCCGGCTGGCCACCGGGGCGTTCTAGGAAGGACGCTGACTGGGAGAGAGAGTCCGGAAAGGGCCTTTCCGATCCACGAGGTTCTCTGAAAACAAGCAGAGAGGCCCAGACCACCCTGTCCCTCGTCCTGCCCCGGCCGGCAGGGCATGCGGACAGGCTCAGCCCCACGCGGGTGGCACTGGCCCCCATCCGCTGGAGAAAGCGTGCCTCTGCCGCGCACAGCCAGCTCCTCCCGCCGCTCTGGCAGCCACGCTGAGCTCAAAGCCGCTCTTCCCTCAGTTGTGACATGTCCGTCTGATACCTGCCAAGTGCCCGCTCTGCTCTGAGGAACTGCTTCAGGCGGCACAGCACTCACCCCGCACACATGCACTCACACACGCACGCCTAGAGAGGCATGCACACACCTGCACACATACATGCATGCCCACACAAATGCACACCTGCACACATGTGCACACATGCTCACACGCCCCTACACACATGCACACTCACAAATGCATGCACACACACCTGCATGTACACATGCACATGCTCACATATACACACCTGCACATGTGTGCACACATGCTCGCCCACACACTTATCTACACACGGATGCGCACATGTGCTCACACACACACGCATGCCCACGCACTCATGCATGCACACATAGAGTTTAACTGACTCCCCCTCCCTGGCCCCTCTCATTAGCTCCACAGGAAGCCCGGGCTTGAAGTTCAGAGACAGGTTGAGCAGCTATTGCCACCCTCCACCTCGAGGTGAGCCCTCCCCAGGGACCACGAACAGTCCTGGGCAGGCAGCTGCCCCTCCAGAAACAGGCCCCCTCGGGCTCCCAAGGATTCGGGACGTCCAGGCCTGGGCCTTCCCTCTCCTGTCCACGCAGGAGCTGAGCGGCCTCCACATCGGGCCAGGCCTCAGCTTCCTCCTCAAAAAGCACCACCGAGTCCTGGCCAGTGTGGCTCAGCAGATAGAGCGCCGGCCTGCGGCCTGAATGGTCCCAGGTTCAATTCCAGTCAAGGGCATGTGCCCGGGTTGCAGGCTTGATCCCCAGTGTGGGGCGTGCAGGAGGCAGCCGATCCATGATTCTCTCTCCTCATTGATGTTTCTATCTCTCTCTCTCCCTTCCTCTCTGAAATCAATAAAAATATATTTTAAGGAAGACGAAGAAGAAGAAGAGGAAGAAGAGGAAGAGGAGGAGGAGGA